CAAATATCTATCTGTAATGTAGAATAATCCTCATGATGTTTTTACTAGTTCGTTTCATCTAAATTCTACGAATTGTAATTTTCTTTACCCCAGAAAAGGCCCTTTATATTTAAATACTTTATATTTACATCGAGGGGACCCTCTCTACGGAGGCCGCCATGTTTTTTACATTAGTCCAGACTGGACAAACTAAACACCTTTTGAGTTTTTATGACAACTGAAGCTACCACAGTTTCTCTTTCATGTTTGGAAGGAGAGGGTGAGGTGAGGGGTGTTCAGCTGCAACATGCAACTTCAACACCAGATATCACAAAATTCTACACACTGTACTTTTAACTGTCACATCTAGGGCCAATTAAGAGTATTAAATTAACCTAACCCCAACCTGTTAGTCTTTGGACTGTGGGAGGAAGCTGGAGTCCATCCCGGTCTGGATCAAAAGTTGCCATTTCCCATTCTCATGCAAACACACCCTTGCACTAGTCTCCTCCCTAGAACATCTAAGTAACACCCACCATCTTGAGGTTGGAGCCAATCCAGATCCAAATAATCTGTGCCTTAGGAAGCTTAGCATAAAAAAGTATTATGCTCAACTAATAACCTCTGTTTTAACTGTGTTTCTTTTCCTAGACAACATCGATGAGGCAGAGCGTCAGTGGAAAGTGGAGTTTCACCGCTGGTCCTCCTATATGATGCACTGGAAGAGCCAGTTTGACCACTACAGCAAGCAGGAGCGCTGCACTGACCTCTGAGAGCTTCAGCAGAGAGAGGAGAGAATGACAGGAAGGGGGGAAGCTGTAAACCAGGTCATGGCCAATTTGTCCCATAGCCCCTCAGTGAAATCTAATTTCATTAATTTTATTTTTTATTTTATTGTATTCTGTTGCGTTGAAGACCTTATATATTATTTATTCTATTTATATACGTGTTTTTTCTGAGTTTGCGTGCTTAAATGGAAATTATGATTATGAGGGCACTTGTCATCTGCATGGCGGTACAAATGTAAATGTCAAATATATGTCATTACCTCGTATGTGTGTGTACTGTATGTGTGTGTGGTTGGTGAGGCTGTCTGCAATGAATGGAAGTCGATGCACTGTCCTAATAAGGATGGCTTTTCAAATAGCTGTGTGCGTGTGTGTGCGTGTGTGTGTGTCTGTGCGTGCTTGGAAGCCTCCCAGTATTAAGCGGACATCAACATCTCAAAAGGCCCATTACATTACTTAACTAATAGTTCAATTTCACTTGTCTTCATGGTAATTTCATGAACTGTTTAACTTAGTCCTGTTCTTGTTCTTGTACGACAACTGTGCATCTGGGTCTTTTGGGGTAGTAATCCTTAACAGAAACATCAACCTCTCTAAATTTTGCCTAGTATTGGAAAACCACTTTAATTGATGTGACATGTAAGATGCTATCTGCTGTAGATGCAGTCCAAACTAAAGCTGCCTACTCCACATGACATTAGAAAAGGGAACTTTAAATTGTATGGAAAATGTATAGCACTCCTTTGCCTTGTTTCTATCAGTAGTGCCATATCTACCACCTCAGTCACTGTCTTATCAGCATATCAGCAAAGATTGACAGAAATAGGACAGAAAGGGGTGAGCAGAGGAACTGAAAATGCCTCACGATTTAATACAATCTCAAAATAATAAGTGGCTATATGCTACACAAATCCAAAGGGGGGAGTGACGGCATGAGTTTAAAGGGTTGTAAAAGTTTGGAGAATGCATAAAAGAACTGAGAGTCAAGAAAAAAGTCGTTTTACTCTAAACTCACCAATTGATGTAATTTATATAATAACAAACTTCTTAACTCGGGCTAGATATTTTTTTATGATTGATTCTCAATTAACCAGGTCGTTATTTTGTCTACAACATCAGAAAACAATGGAACATTTCTATCATATGTCCATGGTTGTGCTTCAAAGCTATTATATGGAGGATTCGAAAAACCTTTTTCATCTGTGCCATTTGGTGTTGTCGTGTCTAAAGAATACATTGCATCCCACAAATAATTCCAATATACCTATATAATGTATGTCCACCTGTAATGATATTTCCTTGTATCACAATATCAAAAATTTTAACTATTCCAGGTTTACTCTGTATTTGTGTTAAAATATGTGATATTTTGACAAATCAATCCTTTTAGCCTCAGTATATTTAAATGTCACTACGTTTTCGACTGCAAACCAACACATCGACAATGAATTCAGTATTTCCCCACCCAAATTTATATGAGTATTTAGGTTGGAGTAATCAGTAGATCTCATTTAGACGTCTATGTTTAGCAATACAACTAAACGCAATCTAATTATCTATGAACAATCAAAACATTTGGAGTTTTTAAATCTAATTGCATGACATCAGTCTTAAAAATGTTTCTACGGTCCAATGAGAGCTATTAAATAGATGCAATATCTTTTCTTTTTCCTCTATTTTCCTCCATATTCCGTTAATTCCCCCTTAAATCTCACAAAGGGGAATTAACCTTTCTAATTCTTTCCTCTCTTTCCTTTTATTTTTCCACCCCTTAACATCGCACTCCTCTTCTCTTCCTGCAGTTGTTCCCCTCTCTCTATCACCACCCTGTTGTTAGGCCCTGGTTTCTGCCTCTCCTTCCTCCACCTCTTTAATGTTCCTCTCCACTTTGGCTGTCCTTTTCATCTTCATCACTAATAAACCTCCACCCACCCTCCTGTCTTTCCTACTGTCATTCTTTCATCCCTTCTCCTACTCTCGTGTCATATGCCCTTCCCTTCTTTACACCCCCTCTCCCATATATTTCTTATTCCAGTATCAAACTTTTCTTTATCCCTCTTATTTCTTTACTCCTCTATTTCTCAGTTGCATCACTATCCCCTCCCCCCTATGCAATGTCCCTTCTCCCATCTCACTCCATACTCCTGCTTTCTCGTTCGTCTAATGGAGACGCAGTAATTCACTCAGCACCACGATAATGTGACAGAGTGCTGGCTCAGCCTCTGGCCTGCCGGCTAACAGGACACAATGGATGGATGGAAAATAGAAGGGAAAGGGTACAGAGTCAAAGCAAGGAGAAAGAAACTGAAAAGGAGGGGAGAGAGGGAAGATGGATGGGGCAGAGGGAGTGGTTGTGATGTGATGGAAAGATGAAAGGACAGTCAGAGAAATACATTGCATAACTTTTCCATACAAAACTGTATGTGAGTCGCAGCTTACGCTATGGCACTGATATATTAAAAAGAATCATAATTGAACAAAAATGTAATTTGACCATTGATCAGAATGACACAAATTAACAATAATTATCATTGATTTACTGATAAAGTGTCATAACCTGCTTTAGTTTGGGTTTGATTGGAGGTTTTATATGTTTTACCTCAAAGAAGGGGCTAAAGGTTTTCTTTATTTTAGGACTTAAACCACAGGCTATTTATCTCTGCTTCGGTTATTGCATTGGTTTGACAGTGACAGCTTTTATTTAAAAATCATACACAGTTGTATTTAGAAAACTGTACAAAAATGCTGAAGAACATGCCAAATGCTGTACAAAAAAATATGACATTCAGAAATTCTTCCTTCCTTGGCCGCCAGAGGGCCGTAGATTACGATGATAAATTACTACAGAGCATGAAAGTCCTAAAACTGGTTCCAAAAAGATATGGATATTTTGCACAAGACATTAAATCCATATGTTGTACACATAAGTTATAGCCTTGTAAGAACACAATAATCAACTTCACACGTTTCTGTGACGTTAAATGTTAAATGGTCTAATGGTTATATAGTGCTGCTTTACAGTACAGTTTTTTTTTTTTTTGCCAATCACACATTCACACATGCATCTATGTGCAGCTCTATCTCTATCATACATCTCTCGCACACTGAGGGTTCAGTATCGTGCCCAAGGACACTTCGACAAGCGGAGTCGGGGAGACTGGGATCAAACCGTTGACATTCTGGTTAGAGGACGACCCGCTCTACCTTCTGAGATGAATAAAAATATCATCTTCGAGGAATGCGGTAGCTCTCTAGCAAACTTGGAAATTAGCATTATCATTTGCTGAATGTGAAATACATATACATATGTAGTCGTGTATAATTCATCTAATCTATGTCTACCACTTATTATAACTGTGTGTGTGTGTGTGTGTGTGCGCGTGTGTGTGTAATATGACTAATGTACCTGTCTGTCAAACTCTGCTATTTTTATTTGAACACTGGAGGGTACTGAATCAGTGCTGATTGGCTGGTGGCGGATTCAGCAAATTGTATCTGTTGGCATGTAAAGCTCCTATTTATGGATCGGAGTATTGTAGTCTAGCTTTAATAAGAACTAAATATGAATAATGGATTGCACCTGATGTCTAAAATATCCGTGAAGAATGCATGTGTGACAGGCCGTATGAGGTGTGAGTGACAGCTCCTCCAGCATCTCTCATCCTTTGGAAGACCCTGCTTAAGCCCCACCCCCCCTGCCGACCCTCTTATCAAATCCTTGTGCATGTCCTGAAGCTGACTCTGTCCCTAGTATATCCTGCCAAACGTGGACTGTTATTTCCTGTGAAATTTGTACTTTTGAACAAAGCTATTATCAAAGTAATATATCTTTAATGTTAGGTATGTGCAATGTTAGCAATAACGTAAATACATCAGTAAAGGAATATATTTGATATTTAAATGCAGTGAACATAGAATATGTTATAACAACAATGACAGATGGAGTTTTAAAAGCAATATTATTAAGAGTGTAAATTCAAAATGAGTGCCATAAACCATTTCTTTCCTGATATTTTTCAGTTTTTCTGACTTTGTTTCAGTCCTCTGCCTCATTGTTGTTTGTTCCAGTACTAAGTGTTGAAGCTTCCCAGTATGTCTCTGTATCATGAATGCTGACTTGGTTAAGCTATAGCAACAGAAATAAAGACAACATGCTGCTTCTCTCTGCCTTGAGCTTTTATTGATGAACACACACTGTCAACTGGCTTTCTCTTGAACAAGATACAAACACTAAAACGAGGTTCGTGATTCAAGTTTTGATTTCTGAGTAAAATTTGGACATTTTTCTCTGGACATGGGATCTTTTGGATGTGTCGAGTCACACATAATTTTTGCCCCTCCAGCGGGACAAAGAATAACCACTACATAAATAATACATGGATTCATTTTAATGGAATTATTTCTTTAGATTAAGCTACAGCAGCTTCAGATCTAGAAAAGGAGTTATGTTGGCATGTAGTCCAACAATAGGTTATTCAAGGTTATTAAATGATGGTCCAATAGATCAGGATTGTGTGGAAGGGCTATTAAATGTTCAATATTGATGCCATTTGTGGTTTAGACTGAGTGGGAAGATGTACACATTAACTGAAACCAACTGGGTCTAATATTGAAATAAACACAGCAGGCTGTCATTATCAATGTGACTTTTAGAATCACCTACAATAATAACTGTCTGTTTTAAGAACTAGGCTCGGTAAAAACCCAGAGAACTAAAAATTCAGAGTGAGCCCCAGGAGCATAGTCAATATTTAATTATCTTGTTTGTTCGTCATTTTTGCAGAGGTCGTGTTAAAACGTTATAACACTGATAAAGATTCCAGGGTGTGGGCGGGAGCAGGGCCTCCAAACCTCTAAACCTCACCTCTATCGCTGCCAACACAATACATGTATTACACAAACCATGACTGTAAATGGAGGCTAAACATCAGACATATAGAGCAAGACAGAGCAGCAGAACAAGAGGGAGGGAGAGAAATCATCTCTTATGGATTAGCTCACTAACTCGGGAGTAGAGAGTGTTTGAGCAATACAAGTGGGTGTTCAACCACGATGACCAGGCACAATGATGTAACTGTCATATTCAAGCTCTGTTTATAACAAAAATAACATCAGTGATATTTATAGATGTAAAATAATAATTATAGCCATCGAGCTCCTCTCCTGTGGACTCATGTCCCAGTTGCAGTTTGGGAGGCAGACACCCTCTTTGGAGACGACTTAAAACCTTCCTTTTGAAAAAAGCTCATTAGGGCTGTAGGCCTAAATTATCAGGGGACATATGACGCATGGAACTTCTCTTTCCTTCTTTTCATCATACTAACGTCTCGTCAATACATGTGACTGATCTGACCTCTTCCCCGGAGTCTACCGTGGATCGTGGTAGAAGCTGCTCGTGTATTATGATTACAACTATCCTTTAACTATATGCCTGCCTACACATACAGCTATTTCTCATGGTTGTTGGGATTATTGTTTTACACGCTAATTCAGAGAGAGGGATCCCTCACTGTGAGGTTTCTACATTACTTTCATTGTTAAAGGTTTTTTGGGGGGGGATTTCACACCATGTTAATCCCTATGAGCAAATTGTGATTAGTGAGTATGGGCTTGACAAATAAAATATGATCGTTTGATTAACTGACTGTTGCAATGTGGCACGATGTCAACTTTAAATTAAACTTAACTTCCAATTAAATTCCCAAAGCTTACTGCAATATAGCCACCTCTTCAGCCAATGCATACAAAATAAAGTGAACATGCAAAATTAATGAAAATGTCTTTAACTCTGCAGCTACAGGATACAGTTCTACCACCAATAGTCAACAATTGTTAATATTCTTATTATTTTTATGATCCTTTTATTTATTATTACTGGTGAAACATTATTACATCAATAAATATTACGATTAATCCTGTTCTCTCCTGAGTCTGGTTCTGTGAGTTTTTGCTCTCCATTGTCACTCATTGAGGAAAATGTTGGCTTTCTTACTATAATATCGTAAGGTGTAAAGTGCATTGAGATAATTCATGTTGTGATTCGGCATTTATTTATACAAATGACATTCAATTCATATTTTCAAAACTTAATGAATAATAATTTTTAATCTGGTTTAAACTGAGCTTTTTCCAAAAACCAATTTAAATATTTTTGACCTAAGAACATCCTGGTTAATTTTGGAAAATTGGGGAATTATAAAATAAATTGCAACCCAAATTCTTGATTCAATATAGCAATGCCTCTGGGCACCAAGTCAGTTAAGAAGAGCCAAGAAGTTTTTCTCAGTTCTGTGGAAAGAACTTCATTGTCTTTCAGACAACCCCATTTAACACCTTTGGGGTTAACTAGAATAC